TGTTATTATTGTTGTTGTTGTGATGTTATTATTATTATTGCCAAACATTCGGTAGAATTTATAGAATATTGTAAAAATTATGGTCTATTACCAACATATACATATATATGTATAGAATTCTTTAGAGGCAAATATTTGATAATAATAATAATAACATCACAACAACAACAATAATAACAACAATAACAATGATTAAATCATAATTAACATATAATATATATATAAGAAGCATTATCGTCTTGTTTCTACTTCATGAAATGTTGCTGAATGGTAGAGTGAGGTACAGTATATTATTACCATTTTCGGCGTTATCATCATTATTATTATTATCATTAACTCTAAAAATGTTGTTATTATTGTTATTAACGATTGTGACGTCACTGTTATTGTTATTATTGCTATTATTGTTGTTGGTGTTGTTTTGCAAGATTACGTAGCCAGCTAGCGGGTTGTGTAATATGAACTGAGGTTGTTGCTGCTGTTGGTACTGTTGTACGTGTGACGTATTTTGTTGTGGTTGATGTTGAATGTGTAGCATATGTTGTTGTTGTTGTTGATGTTGAATGTGTGACGAATGTTGTTGTTGTTGTTGATGTTGAATGTGTGACGAATGTTGTTGTTGTATGTGTAGCGTATGTTGTTGTTGTATGTGTGGCGTATGCTGTTGTTGTATGTGTAACGTGTGTTGTTGTTGTTGTATGTGCGACGTATGTTGTTGTTGTTGTTGTAAAAGTTGCAATTGTTGATTCATTTGTAATTGTATATATTGTTGTTGTTGCTGCTGCTGAGTCTGCTGTTGATGATGATGATGATGAGGCTGTTGTACTAGTATTTGAACTGGAGAATTTTGTATGAAAAGTTGCTGCTGTTGTTGAAGCTGCTGTTGATGTAACAACTGCTGTTGCTGAAGCTGTTGTTGTTGTTGCTGCTGAAGCTGTTGTTGTTGTTGCTGTTGTTGTAACAATTGTTGTATTTGTTGCTGTAGGCTTCGATCCACGAATGATGACGAACTGCTAGTGGCATTGTTGTTGTTGTTGCTGTTGTTGTTGATGCTGATTATTTTTCTATCATAGATATCATTAGCATTATTATTGCTGTTGTTAATGTTTGCCATATTGGTTGTAGTTGTTGTTTTAGTGCTAACTGAGGAATTTACATTACTCTTAATGTGATTATTTTTGTCGCTACTGCAGTAACTGCCGACGCTACTGAGTTTAACTACTTTTTTGTGTTTGCTTAAGGTGTCATTGCCGTTGTTGTTGCTGTTGTTGTTATTTTTGTTGTTGTTTGTGGTGACGGTGACGTCATCGTCTGCTTGCACGAGGAATAAAGGTAAATTGGATGAAGAGCCGGCGTTTTTGAAGCCAGGAGAGGACGACGATGAAGAAGAAGATGAAGATGAAGAAGATAACAAGGATGGTGGGGACGATGATGGAGATGGAGATGTCAGTAACGTTTTTAAAGTCGGCTGCCTAACAACTACTGATGACGATGATGATGACGATGATGATGATGATGATGACGACGATGATGATGACGACGACGATGATGATGACTGTTTGATAATGTATAGAACACCCTGGTCCAGATAGCAGTGACTACCCTGGAGTAATGATGACGATGATGGTGACGACGACGATGATGATAATTTTTATGACGGTCACCGGGGGTGCGTTTCTTACTGAGTTTTAAAAATTTTTAAAGGTTTTTTTGATGAGGGGTTTAATATTGCTACTTTAATCATTATAATTGTGTTGTTTGTTACTTTGTTGTTGGTTATTTTGTTGGTTATTATTGTTGTTATTATTATTGTTGTTGTTATTTTGGTTGTTGTTGTTGCAATTAATGCCGGTAGTGAAAGTAGTTGACTTAATTTTGACTTTGTTAGCCAAGAGATGACTAATATGCTGTCTTTGCGATAATAACGACGACGATGATGATGATGAAGATGACGATACTGATGATGATGAAGACGTTACTGATGATGATGATGAGGATGACGCTACTGATAATGATGATGATGGTGATGTTGTTGTTGTCGTTGTATGTTTAGATTGTGTGTTTAGCTGTCGATGATGTTGTAAAAATATTGTCGATGATTGATTTGATAGTTTTGTAGTTGTTGCTGTCGTTGTTAATGGCGTCATATGTTGATAAGGTAGTTCGGCATTTATTAATATATATGGTGTGTAATCATTATAAAGAGTTGTTGTTGTTGATGATGTTGTCGTCGTTGTCGTTGTTGGGTTGTTGATGCAGTCTAGCAAAAGACTGTTGTAAAAGTGCTTCAGCGATGGATTGATGGCTATGATGTTGTTGCTGAGATTAACTTTGTTGTTGTTGATGATGCTACTGTTGATGTTGTTGTTGATGCTGTTGTTGTTGTTGGTGGTGACGTTGGTGTTTGAAAAGGTAGAAAGGTTGTTGTTATTGATGTTGTTGTTGTAGTTGTAGATTTGATCGGAGTATGAAAAATTAGGATTTAAATTGGAAATTTTAGTTAATGTTGTTGTGGTTGTTGTTGTTGTTGTTGTTGTTGTAGTGGTCGATGTTGTTGCGGTTGTTGATGTTGCCGTAACGAATTTGTTGTTTTTTGAGATTGTTTCTGTCAGCAGTTTCTCTGTTTGCTGCAGAAAATTAGCAACAAAGCTATCAAAAGATTCATTTGTCGATTCTGTAACTGCTGCTGCTGTAGTTGCTGTAGCTACTGTTGTAGCTGCTTTCAATGTTTTGTAGTCACTGATGTTGTCTTTAGTAGAAGCATTTATACAGGTAAGTATTTTTGTGGATGGTTTAGCTGAAACTTTTGCTGATAATGATACTGATGTTGACGATGATGATGACTGGATAAGACTAAATGGTAGCAGCATAAATGACTTACATGATGATGATGACGACGATGGTGACTTCAGTTGCAAGTGAGTTGGTGGTGAGGATGATGATGACGGTAATGATTGAGATACAGACGACGATGACGACGATGATGATGGTGATGATGATGAAGATGGCGAGGGAAATTTAGTTCTATTGCTCATCAAGTCGACTAATGTGATGATGTTACTGTCGTAACTATTTCTCAGAGGAAACATTTGATGATGTTGTTGCTGGTGTTGTTGTTGATGACTCAAATGTTGCTGTTGTTGTTGTTTATCTTCGAATGGCTGCTTTAGTTGTTGATAAACACAATGATTATAACCGACATCATCGTTTTCGCTGGAGTTGCCTAAAGAATCTTTTGCTGGGAGAGGCAAGTGTTGTTGCAATTGTTGTTGTTGCTGCAATTGTCGTTGCTGCAACTGTTGTTGCTGCTGCTGCTGCTGTAGCTGCTTATTTTGTCTAATTTTATTTAAATAATAATAAACTCCACTGTCGACTGCTTCATCTTCATCATCGTCGCCGTCGTTATTCGCGTATCTCATATCTTCAACTTCGCATCTAACAATGCTTTCGACTGAATTATTATCATTATTATTATTATTACTATTATAGTTATTATTATCATTATTATTATTATTGTTGTTGTTATTATTATTATTATTATTCAGGAAATAACCCGCGCCAGATGTCAGACTCGTTTCACTAATACCTAATTTCTTCATCATCATCACTTGCTGCGCGGATTTTTGACTGACCAGTTCTGGGGAGTGTAGCGTCAAAAAGGTTTGATTGACAGTTGCCGGGGACTGTGAGATTGATTTTTCGTCGATATTTTGCTGGTTTCCCTTCTTCAATTCTTTACCCTCGTCAATATATTTTTGGCACCTTAATTTCAAACTTCCAGAATTCATACTAATTTTACTCTTCAACCTCTGCCTAAGTATAGTCTTCGGTATCTTGATTTTGAGGTCGAAATTACCAGCTTCACTTACGTGAGCGGCTTTATCGGCAGCATCATTGTATCCATCCTGGGTGGATGTAACTAGCATCTCATCTTTCGTAATATTAAGTTCACTTTTACTCTCCGTCTTTACCTCACCGTCATCTCTACTATTTTTGTTATTATTCTTCTTTTTCTTATTGGCGCTAATGTTATTATTACTATTGTTGTTGTTCTTCCTGTCAACTTTCAGTTTCCTTTTCTTCAAAACGCTCAGGGCTCCTGCAGCCGTGGCATCTTTCTCCCAATTATTATTATTATTGTTACTGATGACGTCGTTACTGACTTTATTTTTAGCTCGCTTCTTATCTCCGGCAAGTTTGCCATTATATACTAATGTGAACTTTGAACTCTCATTATTATTATTATTATCATTGTTCTTCTTTTTATTATTGCTAGTAGAAGTATTAGTATTAGTAGTAGCAGAAGTAGTAGTAGTAGTGGTAGAATTATATAACTTCTGACTATAACAAAAATCACTTACAAAGTTATCATCATAATTTACATCGTAATTAACATCACCATTATTATTATTATACTCATCATGTTTAGATGCTAAATTTTTACTATTATTATTATTATTATTATTATTATTATTATTATTATTATTATTATTATTACCATTATTAATATTAGCGTTTGAGTAAATGTTTGGACAACTCTCACTGGCTAAAATGTTTACGTCTTTTGGTACAATACCATTACCTTCAATATGATTGGTGCTCTGGCTATTATATATGTCACTGTTGTAATTATTATTATTATTATTGTTGTTGTTGTTATTAATGTTACTATTGTTATTATTATTGTTGATGTTGGTGTCGACATGTTGGTGGCTGCTTTGGAAGTGTTTAATCTGTGTCGAAATCAAAAGATGAAAGTAGATATGATGAAAAATAATGATAATAATATTTGTAATAATTGGAACAAAAAAATAATAATGGAATGAAAAAATGATGACAGACCTTCCATACATCGGCCGACTGTTGGCGACTTTTTTCGATGTTCATATACTGCCTCATGTCATCGGTGAAACAGCCTAAAAATAAATAAAAACAACAATAACAACAACAATAATTAATCAAAATAACATTTATAATATAATATAACATAATTTATAGTTACATGACTTTGTACCTTCACTCAATCTTTCTTTCCAGTCTTCACAAGATTTTGTGAAGAATTCGTTTGTGAGTGCTTCACAGCTTGGCCTGAAAAAAATTGTTACCTGTTATATACTATGTAGAAGAAAAAATACTATAAAATTTTAACAGCTTGTTTCCAATAAATTTTGTTAAAAATATTTACTAATTTACAGATGAGCTTCAGAGAGAAACAAAGATAGCGAAGCAAAATCAGAACAAAGAAACACATCCCTACTTACACTAAATTCCCTAAATCATCGTGGACTTGATCACAGACAGGTAACAACTTGACCAGATGATGCTGAAGATAGCTTGGTAATCTTTTAAAATTAGCTTCATTGACTATTGCCTATAAGTGAAGATGATGATGATGATAATAATAATGAAGAATAGTAATAAAATCAAAATATTGTGATGATGAAAAAAAATAAATTATTAGATCTCAGTTGTCATTGTATCTTTCATATTTATACAACAGAGAACACATACATACAGTCATACATACAACAGCAATAGCTTATTGGTAGCACATACTTTCATATTAATTTCGGTTAATTTAGAATCTGCAGACGTCAAAAGACTCTTTAACCAGTCCGTGGTTTTCTTACCATTATTATTTTTGATCTTTTTCTTCTGGGGATGCAAAACATATTTTAAAAAAACTTACTAATAACTAAAACTAAATTTACTGAATTTATAAATAATATTCAAATAAATGAAAGACTTGGTTAATTAAATATTAAATGTGTGTGAAAATGTATAAATGAACATCTGTAACCAATTTGATGTTTCATTTTGTGAGAATTTTTTTTGACGGAAATTTTTTTTTCCCAATTCAGATGAGAATCAATAACAACTCAATTACCTTAGCTGTGTCTTGAATATTTTTTGATGAAATTTTGCAGTTTAATTTCTTTTTGACATTGGAGGACATTTTTAATTGAATAAAATAAATAAATACGTGATAAAAAGTCAAAAAATTGATGAAAATTGCAACTTTTGAGATGAAAATTTAGTGACTTGTTTATAAACCTAAGTGCAGCTAGCAGCGAAATTTGTTTTGGAAAAATTAAACAACCTATATTTTAATACCAAATTACTTATAAAATTACATTTTTGTCAATTATTCAAAATTAATTATACTTTTATAACAAGGTTTCATCAATTTTAATAATTTTTTAACCGTTTATGCCATTTTACTTTTAATTTCTGTTGCTATAGCCTCCTACACACTTTTAAAATAAATAAATAGTAAATTCTTGTTAAAATAGGCTTTCAAAAACGTCCAAAAAATGGCTAAAAGTCGAGTTGACACTCTTCTGCTGTGGTTGGTACGGTTTCTGTAATAAAAATCATGTAAAACTATGTTATTGTACCATTTCTGATATTCCGCAATTTAGATTAAGTTTAATTTAAAAATTTATCAGTGTCTTTTGAAAAAGTGTATAAAACGGTTTTAATTTTAAAATTTTTAATTAATTAAAAAACTAACTTTTATTGTAATGATAATGATATCAGTTTGTTCTTATTTGTTGAATTTTCATTTATTTCATCAATTTTTCGTGAACTTTTCATTAATTTTTCATAAAACACACACAGTTCTTTATCAAAAATTACAAAGTTGGTAGAGAAAAGTGACCACCTGGTAAATTGTGAGGAGTTTTTCAATCTTCCTAAGACTTTGAAGTCAAAAGTTTATATGGCCTTGACAAACAAAGGCCTCATTACAGACACAAACATAGATTTGGTCAGTAGCTATATTTATTATTACAATTATATTATAGGTTAATATTATGAACATATGTTATAATTTTATTATTACAATTATAGGTTAATATTATGAATGTATGTTATCATTTGCTGGCAATAATTAGTTTTCATTAGTTTCGTCATTTCATTTCCATATTTTGATGTGTTTTAATCAAAAGATTTGTAATAATTAATGAAATTTGCAAGCTTCTGTACATATACTTTTGTATTTATAAAACAAAAAGTTAATATTTGATTAACTTAATCAGATAAGTTGTTTCATATTTTTTCATTGTAGTTTCTCTCAGATGATTTAAAAATATTGAAGTTAAGCTTTCAAAAGTCCAATGCTGTCACAGATGTTTCTCTGAGGAAAGTTTCTAGAAAATGTCCCAACGTTGTTAAGTTGTTACTATGCAAGCAATCTTTCATCACTTCTGAAGGTCTAAGGAATGAATGAGTGCACGAAAGAATTGGATGAATAAAAGAGTGAATGAGTGAATGAACGAATGAATGAATGAATGAATGACTTATATGGATTGAATGAATAGATGTTCAATTTGCTGGTCATACTAAACAAGTTTGATTGCATTGGTGACAAATCATTAACGGATAGCAATAATTTAAATATTAAAGTTATTTATTTAAATTTTAATATAATATTAATAATAATAATTTCTATTTTTTATAGGACTTACATGCATAGCATATAAATGCAAGTACATACAA